TCCATATCCTCGATATTTAAAATAAGTCATTGTAGCATTTGCGTTTTGTGTTATCTTTTGCTCACTTCTGAAGCTGCTCTTTTGCGAGGCTAGCTCTTGTTCTATGACAATCTAGTGGGTTTCCTCAAACCACTAAATAATATTGTAGGCTTTGTTTAGCGCCTTAAATGGGACTCGGAAATAGTTTCCGTGCAGTAATTGTTGCTTCACCATGGTGATTGAACTGATTTCCGCAGCTTTGCCAAACTCAGAATCTAAGCAAAACATCAACCATAGTGGAACTTTTCTGATGTGCTTTGATGTTTAATTGTTATTTTATTGTAGCCTTTGTATTGTAGGAAAGATATGGTCATCCGTGTACAGTATTTGCTGGATGTGAATCGTATACTACGGGCCGATGTTGCTCATTTAAGCGGTGAACATCACTGCCCTCTTCACACTTGTGAGCTGTCGATTGTAAATAAATATTGTTTCCAACTTCATGCGGTGTTTTTAAATTTACTATTCTTACTTTAAACAAATTTATTCTTGCAATTTTTTGGGTTCTGCCCTTAAGGACGTGTAAGTAATTCACATTTCCGTTTATTGACTTGTGCTCATTTGTTTCTGTTTCTGTGTTTGCTCTTGAAAATTGATCCAAAGTGGGCATTTAATGTGTGGTATATGGCTCCAAAGTGGAAAAGTGTGTGATATTAGAGTAAGATATGTGTTGGCTGTTGGCATGATCAGGAAATTTGGATTTTTTGGAGACCATTGTCATGCTTAAACAGTATCGTCTGACTTAGCGTGGTCTTCGCTGATGTCGACTGTGAAATTTAGTTAGTTAAGTTTATTAAATGGGAGCATTTCTTCAATGATTGTCAAAAGGACGTTCTCCAGTCTTGTGTGATCTCATGAGCGTATTATGATTTTTAGGAACTTAATAACTTGGGTTGCTTTGCCTACTCTTATATTTGAGTAGCAGTATAACGTTTTGCAATCATTTTAGGCAAATATTCTAGTCAGTGTTGCGCGAAAGCCTTCTACATCAAGACTCCACCTCCCGTAAGCCTTTTTGTTCAAATGTCGCAAGACTTTCACTCTCCTCAGGTGAATGTCGAATGTTTTGCATGCCTTGAAGGCGAATCATGATGAATGCGACCGTCATTGCCAGGATCTAGAAGATGAGGTCCAGGCGTTGAAGCGGGAACGATCGCGTCTTAGGCAGCAAAGTTCTGTTCAGGACCTCATTAGGTAGACTCGTTTCGTAGTAACTTTCAAATTTGTTTTTGTAATAAAGTAGGCAATCAATGTCATTTAAGTAGGGCGATTTTATCAATCTCATATGCGCTGTCAGAAAAATACAGTTTAGGCATGATAACTAACGGAATGATCTCTTTAAAGTAGGGCCAGTAGTCATAGAAAAGTTGAACTTGATGTGCTATGAATCTTTTCTCCAAACCAGCTGAAAGTGTTCGGGCCAACTGATCATAAATAACGGTGGTTCTTGGGAATCACATTGGAAGTTTTAATGTTGATATAGTGGTGTTTGCTAACTATTTCGAAAGCCTTACTCAAAGACTTCTTGATCTGTTTTTATTTGTCACTTTCATTATCAGGCACTTTTGAATGGCTTTGAAATGCAAGTTTCATCTCCCATATTCATTCGTAAGGGCCGATTGTCAGAAAGGGATTTCCCATAATGTCTTATCAATCTCTTGATTACGTCAATTTGTGACAAGAAATTTTGTTTTTTTGTGCATTGTGCTGTACAAACGAATGATTTTTGCAAAAGAATACGACTCAAATGATCTTGCTTGCTAGCCGAACGTTGCTTTTTGCATTAAGACACTTTCCGCCATTGACGATCCAAATGGTATGACTTCCCTTGAATGAAGTGAACAAATAGATCTCCGAATTCCATTGTGTTTGTCTTCTCCATTACCTACGCTAAACTTCTAGTTTGCTACGTGATCGCAAACCCAACACCTCGATCCCATACGTCCAACACTCTGACGAGCCCTTTGAATAACCTTAACAATCAAATTCCTTTCTTCCTAGCTATTAATTATATCCTTTTGTACGTTTATATCATGGTTACATCCTCCTTGTGACCTGTACTTCTCCAGTAATGGAGTTAATCACGATAAAGTTCCACTTTATAACTAAAATGACTATACTAACATTCGGGAGAAGGTGCTATATTTGTTCATCAACGAAGGAAATATTTGCGTCTTTGAAATTTACGTTAAACTACTTGGTTTCTTTTGCTGTTATGGAAATGCATCGCCATTGTTTAGCTGAATTCATGTCTTTCATTTTTGAGTTTAGATATCAGTTTGATCCCATAAATAATGGCCAGCGTAACGTCCACCTTTCATTTTCCCATGTTCGTTCTTCAAATCAGCAATGTGGAAATTGTATGAGGGCTTCACGTTACAAGCATTCAATTCCAATTCACCAGATGTCCAGGGTCGAGTTCTGTTCGATAAGATCTACTCTAAGCGATTCCGAGTTGGTGACGTTTGGTACATATAAGCCGTATAACGGGAACATCAGTACAAAGCAGAAAGTGGGGTTTAGGCCTCTCCTGTATGAAATTCCGGTGATAACGTATCCCATTTGGTAACGATGCAATCCCAATATGGGATCTGATTTTTAGGTCACAATATTGATGATCAGGCCTAGACCAAGTCTATACAGTTCAATTCTCAGCCTTGTTGAACACTGTGTTATTTTAATCTACTTACTTCTTCACCTTTAATGTTCGTTTCAGATCCATTAGACAGCGACAAGTAACGCTTCAGCGTGACCTCATGAACAGTCGACAATTGGAGGCCGAAAACGCCATGCAGAGGCGTTTGGTAGGACTGTAATTCCTGACTCTTCTAATCGCCTTGCCCTTAATTCAGCTCTCGAAACTCTCCAGTGAACGTGACGCCCTTGTCAGCGTGGTAAGGTTAAAAGCGGAAATGCATTGCTTTGGCTGGACTAAATATTGAAATAACTTTGTCCATGTTAAATATATAAACAGATAATTGGGCTAATTTCACTCTTCGATTTCGATTTCGGTGAGACTTGATCCAGATTTTATGCATCAACGCACATTCATACCAGACAGAGACATTCGCTTTTTCCATTCACATTGTGGTCGCACTACACTATTATTCAGTTTATATTTTCGTCCTCGGTAAAAGCCTAGAGTGCGGCAGACAATTGGAATAGCGGTTTAATAGAACAGTGGTTAAATTTGTACATGAGCAAAGAGGATATCAATTGATTGTTTCGAGGATATTGCGGTGACTTAGCGATAAGACTGAATCAATTGGTGCGTGAAACATCATATCGTAGACAGTACGTGCATAACCTCTGGAACTGAGACTTTATCATGCACCCACTCAGTCAGAGCCAGTTTCGAAAATTGGGCCTGCACTGGCCTCTAAGACAAGCAGAATAGTCTAGCAATATTGAGTCGATGGTTGGGCAAAGTAGAGTCCTCTAACCCCTACTTAATTCAAGGTCTTCTCGCTAATAGATAAAGACTAGGATATCCGTGCTTATGTATTCATGGGTCCATAGGTAAGAGTAATAAAATTTCCTCTTAAAATTTTCTAGTCTTGACGATCTTTGAGGTCCCGGTTTGACTTTAATTTTCTCGTAGTCAGCAATCAACTCATCCAGGTCCTAGTGAATGTGATGCAGTAACAAGCGGGTCACCAAAAGTGGGTTTTAGCTGCGTATTGTGAATAACCATTATTTGGTACAATTTGCTGCGACCTTTTGCTATCATCATGAACGTTTTGCAGAGTTCAAGTAATAACTGCCACATGAACCAATCAGTGATTGCTTTTTCAAACTCAGTTAGCTGGTTTTAATTTTCTCAGATCACTTTGCTAAATTGTTGTGATGTGTTTCAAATAATGTGACAGAACGACATGTTAGATGGCAAGGAAAGACAAGCCTAACAGAGACAATTCCCTCTAACCTTATTCTGTCCACCATCACTGTCATATAGACTTCATCCTACTAGTCAGGTGATAATAAATAGCAATTCACCTAGGCTGATCGCTATTCTCAGCCCTGGATTCGGCCTGCCCTAATGGTCAATTCATCTGCTTGGATGATCATGAATATGATCAATTTCAACCAAATATTATGGGAAAAAAATGTCTTAAGTGGTAGTTTTATGTCTACGTCTTATATTTTCAAGAACATAGTGATGTGGTTTTTTAATCAGTGATTATGGAACC